TTACTATGGCAGTTATGTGCCAAATATTGATATGTATGATTAATCTTCTGTTTAAAATAATTAACATTAGTAAACTTAATTAATCACAATTTATAATTAAAAGCATATTTTATTGGATAGTGGAATATATACATGCTATCAAAATTAATTTGGCTTTGACTCAATTCCCAAAACCTCAATTTTTAATTGCATCTGATTCAATTATTTATATGTTTTCATAAGAAGATTTAAAATTAATGCCTACTCTGACTAAGCCTCATTTATTTTATGCCATTTAATGGCGATTTCTGGATGCTGATGAGAAAATGCAAGCAAAAAAATTTGGAGATGTAGAGAAGCAATAATGAAAACAAAAGGGTTGTATTCATGTGTTGTCAATAAATGCAAACAAATTCACCTATGCTGAATTGGAAGAAAAATTTTGTGTAGATAAATTGTTACATATTAGATTTTTCTTGAAATTGTATTTATATTAGTTACTTTTAATGATAATTAGAAAAAATGCTTATGTTTTATGAAGCTTTTAACAAATAGTGTGACCAGTGCCAGGTATAAATTATTATTGCCTGTGAATAGATTCTTTCTATAGTTCACTTTCTCTATAATGGATCTTTCTATAACAGACTGAGAATTAAGCCCAATTTATATGTCCATATAACAGGTTCTCTCTACAGTTCACTCTCTATAATAATAAATAATAAAACAGATCTTGTTCTGTATCTTGTTCTATAACAGGCTATAATGGCATTTTTTCCTAACTCGGATAATCCATTATAGAGTGAACTGTAAATAGGAAAAAAATTAATATAATAAATATTTTCTAGATGTTAAGTTAATGAATTTTTAAAATATTTAGAATGAATTACTTTGAACTCTTCATGGAAAAATTTTGGAAAGCATGATGGAAGTAAATGTATGAAAGTAAAACAATTTCTAAGAGCAAATCTAAAACAAAAAGGAGAAGCAGGTGAGTTGGATGCAAACCAAAAATAAAACTATAGAAAATTGAATAACAGAGAACATAAAAAAGAATCAGCCAAGAAGAATTGGATATTATTGTTATATCATAAAAAGAACCAATAAACATAATTTTTTAGTTTTATTATTCTGTAAATTCCAGTATTATACATAAAAAAGTTGATTTTTATCCCCAATCAAGATTGACAAAAAAAAGTTTTTTTGTTTATTGACGTCCACGAATTAATTGTATACTCACTCACGTCATGTCACAAAGTCACAAATTACGTCTTGTGCAACTACATTATTGCTTCAGAAACTCTAAGCTTTCATACTAGAAAAATCACTATTTAATCGAACCAATACTTTTTTTGCAATCCGTTATGCCTTTATGATTGTATTCTGTATGAAGTAATATCAGTATTCTTCATTATAATATCTGTTATTTTCTTCTGACACGCTTGGGGAAGCTGTCGGCCTTCATATATAATTGGAATTTGCAAATCTTTTAAGAGAATTAGATGTAGCAGAAAATGCTATTGAGGGATTTAGATAATAGTGATCTTGAAGGTTTAGTTTTTTTTTCTCTCAAAGGTAATGTTTCAATGGCTTATTTAAGTATTAATGAATTGTCTCCTTGATGGTTGTGGCAATAGTATCGAAAAACTATTGTTTTTGGAAATCCTGTCTAAAAAACTGTGTCTAAGTTAAGATTTTTAAATAAACTAAATGTGAATTTTATACTTTTTTTCGATATTCCATATGTAAGTTATTGTAGTTGAGAAAGTTAAATATTTGAACCCTGAAATTTCCTCCTTACATATGTCCGTCAATCCATATAAAATAAATATTTCAAGCCTTGTAACTCTTTTTTTTTTATAAACAGCACTTAAAATTTTTATCATTTATAATCCTTATTATTGGTTCATATTTATGCAAAAAATTTAGATTAGAACCATATTTTGCTAGCATGTATTTTGTATTACCAATTGAAACACAAACCTGTTTACAGAACACTAAAGAATATAACAAGGAAACTATCCCGGCAATCTATTACTATGTAAAAAGTTTTTGGAGAAAAAATTTGGAAAACAAGAAGCGAAGGTGTCGCCAAATAGGAATTAAGAAGTAGGAGGCAAAAAGACGAGAGAACAGTAAATAGTAATAATATTAGTAAGAAATAATTAATAGTAGTATATAGTATAATAATTAAACATTAATTATGTAAATATATATGTATAGAAAACCAAATTTTATATAATAAAGTAACCGAGTTGTGGTGATGTCATGGGTCGGTAGGCCTGGATTGTCATCTTCGTTCAGGATGGCAAGTCACAGTTTTGATGGTGATATTATCATGACTGGTCAAGCTCTCTTTAACAAAGGTCTTCTATGGTTTGTTTTTTTAGTCCTACGTTCCCAATTTTTGGAGGAATTAAAGGATCTGCAAGGCCAACAAAAAGTCCAGCGACTAGGTGACTTCTTGCCAGAAGGGAGAGTAGTAATAGTAGGCAGAAGGGCCATTTTAATTTACCAGTTTTCCCGGCAAAATTTTTCAGACGATCAATATATAGTAAGAGAGAAATTACAATAATCTATATAAATAATAAATTTAGTATACATGCCCGTCCGCCATTCAGGATGGCAGGAAGATATACATGCAACCAGACCAAAAAAAAAAAAAATTATATAATTCGAGTAACATTATTTAATTTTAAAAAGAAACAATTTTTCTATTCTCACATTAACAAAAATTTAAAAATTTAAAAAATGTCTAAAAAACATAATAATAACAGTGTAGTTGATACAACTTCATCAGATTCTTCGCATAAACAACCAATAAAAAATCTGGGTTTTGGCGAGATTACTATAACATTTTCACCATTAAAAGCCATATCACTTTTAATGATCATTATTTCAGCATTATATGGCTTGGATGTATATAGAGACAACAAATCAGTATGTGACTTTGTAGTTGAAGTTAATGATGACAAGTATGGATGGCTTCCTGTTCCTGAACATTCAAGTTCTGCCCTTGCAAGATATAAACATTTGGATAATGGAGCATTTGTTTATCGACACATCTACATGGACGAATTTCAAAAAGAATTCAACGTTCAACCCATTCATTATCCAGTTAGTATACATGCTTTTTATTTATGCAATTACTTATATTAAAGTATATGTCACTTTTATAATTATATTTTTAAATATTTATCCTTAGGTGTATGATGTTGAACTTGCGAAATATTTAGAGAAACATGATCTAGTAAATAGACTAAGAGCTAATGAAACAATTGATCAAAATGTTATTACAAATATTTTAAGGGAATCAGAAAGATATGCACCGTTTCTTGCCAATATTAAAGCAAAAGTTGAGAAGGGGACTTTTGTTGATGATGAGAGTGTTTATGTTCGATGGGTTAATGACGATGTAAGATATGGAATGTTTGCTGCAAAAGATTTCGTACCAAGAGATTTCATTGGAGTTTATGCTGGTAGATTATTTATTTATTATAAATGATTTTGATTGTAATGAAAATGATCATATAATGATTGATTATTAAATGTTTGTATATTTTTCTTTTAGGCATGATAACTCATCGTCTTACTGATCTTGAATATGGTAATTTGATTTTTTTTAATTATTCAATATACTTAAAAAAAATTTATACGAATAATAAATTTATTTATTATTTTAATCGTAATTAAACTTATTTAATTATATTCTGATTATGATCATTGTAGCGTGGGAATTCAATTATCTTGTAGATATAAATGATGAGAATGGTCAAAGGATTAGAGCTTGTATTGATGCTAAATATTATGGAAATTATTTGAGATTCTCAAATCATCGTGACAGTAAGTCCACCATTCAAAAAATGGAAAAATAAATGTCCACATGTTTTGCGTGCACAATAAGTCTTTACATATTTTTATAAATATAATTTTTAGACAATCAAAATGCAGGACAATTATACGTTGCTTATAATGATATCTGGAATGTAGTATATCTTGCGCAATCCTATATTAAAGTAAGTAATTTATATTACCTATTGAAAAATTGATTAAATTATTATTTATTATTATTAATGGAAGCGCCAATTATTTTATTATCGCTATAATAGCCTCACGAACAAATCTTTGTTAATTATGGTCAAGGATATTGGGAAAACAAGAAAAAATATGATTTATAAGAATGAACAATATTAATATAATATTTTGAAAATATAGATTTAATTTTTGTTTTTCTTTTTTTTATATTATTTAGTTATACACAAAAAAAAAAAAAAATTATAATAAAATTTATTTATTTCATTATTAATTTGAGCAAGTGTTTTTAACTAATAAAAGTTTGCCTTACTAAAAAAAATTAAAGAGAATTAAAATTCCCAAAAAAAAAACTTCAATTTAAAAAAAAATTATTCTAAACATTAAATTTAATTGAATCTATTTTTATTAAAATAAATGTAAATTTTGTACAATTAACAATAATGTCAATTATTATTAATTACAAATGAAAATGATGTCACTACTATTACTACTACTGTTATTATTATTATAAAATGATTAAAATAATAAAGAAATTAAGACAACACTTCCACTAAATATTACTAAATTAAATAAATTATTACTAATACTGAGATTATTATTAATTGAATTAGCAGATGATGTCTTGTCCGTTGATGAAGTTGATGGAGATGGAGATGAAGTTGAAGATGAGGATGATGGGGCAGGAGATGGTAATGCTGCTGAAGTTGTTTTTGGAGCACTATTACCAATATATATGATACCCCACATACCACCTCCACTGCAATGATTTTGCACACTACATAAATACCAAAGTATACCCTTATCTTTTGTAATATCCAATGTAAATTGTTTGGTAGGTGGATTAGTTACTGATTGAACTGGAGATTATGGATTATGATATAGGTTTTGAAGAGTCAGGATTGGTGATTATTAAGGAATTGGAAGTTAGTGTGAATCGTAATAATATTATTTAAGGTTTAAATACTTGATTCAAATATTAAAAATATTAATTACTTACAAGCATCAGGTGCGGTTGATAATTCGCATGAACCATCAGGTCCATCTGATTGAACTACATTATGATTTCCACCATCAAAGACCCATACAATCTATAAATTATAATTAATCGTGTTATTATCATAAATGCTTATTATACAATGTATAATAATAATGTCGTTATTACTTACCGTGTCACCTTTAACCACTGTGACATTTTGAGGTCTAAATGATAATGTTGGTAATCCCGTTTTTTCATCTTTTCCACCTACGTGAACAGTTATGTTTGCTGAAGATACGAAGGTCGAAAGAAAACAAACCAAAATTAAACTGATACTGAATAATATTCTTCGCGACATCATGTATATAAATATAGATTGGTTCGTTAAATAATTATCAAAATTTCTTTTAAAATCGTAATTTATATACTTTGATATTAAATAAAACAAAGAATATTAACCAACAAAAAAATCTCGAAACAAATTAATTTAATAATATTAAGAATTAAAAAAATCTTCAAAAATAGATAATTTTAAAAGAAAATTTTGTTGGCAAGGGAAAAGAAGATATTAATATTTATTTTTATATCTTTATATATAAAATTGGCAGTGTGATGCATTGCAATTAATTAAAATTTCTAAAAATAGAAAGGAACTGGTTATTTTGTTTATTTTTGTTAATAGTGTGGCGTGTAAAATTTTATTTGTACAACAAAAGAAATATTACCCGAAAATCGAAATGCAAATCTCTTCGAAAATTTATGTTCCAAAAAAGTCTTGGTGTTTTTGCTATTAAAAGAGTTTATTTATTTCCGTTCATATATTTCATTATTTATTTAATTATCATATTCATTATCTTTTTTCATCGACGATAAGAACAATTTTGTCTGTAAATAACGATGGTTTTCCCGGATAACATCAATTTTCATTGATGATAATAATATCGATTATTCAATAATTAATTAATATGATAAAAGAACCTGAAGTTCATAGCAACAATTTTAATAATTATAATATTCCTAAGCCACAGCATTAGCTTGAAAACAAGTTTCTAATTGGTGATAATACTTTGCCCCTTTCCAATCTCACGCCTCTTATGTATAATATTATTCTAAGCCCATCTAAGCAACTGTCATGAATGGTTGCAACTCCAAAAAAATTAATTGATTTTATATCTTTCAATAAAGCTTGATTGAACACTTGGATTATTTTGAACCGACAAATGTATAATTAGAGATTATTATCTTCTTCTGAGCAAACCTTCTGAGATCTACTTCTAAACTATGAAATGTTGTTATTAGAGAGAGCCTTACAAAACTTCCATAATAATAATAATAATAAATCATCGATTGCGAATGTTTTGAAATTGCGCTTAATAGTTTATCCGATATTTTTGAGCCTCTATCAAATTGAGCTAAGACTATCTATCATTAATCAAAAGGTGACAAAACCGACATACTGGATTTATCCTTTTTCGACACCATTATTAAATAAATTAATCTGTTAAAGATTAGAAGAATCACGTTCCAATTTATTGAGATTCTCGAAACAATTATTGCCAACTGAAGCATATTAATAGTTGTTGCATGATCCAAAACAAACAATTAATTTTCGTAATGTCGCAAACTTTATTGATTAGAAAATTCAATGTGAATTATTCTTTTTTAAAAAATCCATGTCATCCAAAAACAATTAATCAACAATATATTAATGTTTGCCTTCAAAAATGGGATGGATCTTTCCCTAATCAAGGCTATGCCATTGTTTATTAACCAGAATAACCATAAACGTACGAAAACATTTCAGTTTAAAGTTCAAATAGTAGACATTTTGTTAGAAAGAGAAATTTTTTCAATCACATCATAAAAACGTGACTTGATTATCTATTTTATTAAATAAGTTGATTTACAAATTAAATTTATATTTTTATATTAATTACATTCTTGATGGCAAAAAAAAAAAAGATTATATATATTAGCTATATGTTTCCAGAACGAAAAATATTAATAATATCAAGAAAAGACAACATTATTGTTGTTGCCATTATCATCAAATTCTTACCTGTAAAGTCATTTGTTTATCGGGATCAATAGAATTCCATAATGTTGTTTTATATTCTTCTGTAAAACTGTTTAGAATAACTTTTAAAGCACTAACCATCCTTGTAGCTGTATCTTCCGGTAATATTTCAGCTGCAAGTACATCAATAAAAATATTAACAATATGAGGGAGATTTGCATTGTTATTTCCAAGAATTGCTGGATGTTGTCTACAAAATAAATAAAATATGAATTAGCATATGAAAAACAAATAAAAATGCAACTGCCGCATACAATTAGAGAATACTAGTAATCACCCATGTTTAATTGGACAGAACAAACAAAAATAATAGTCATGGGCAATGGATTTTTATTGGTTCAAAAAATAATATCATGGGCAATGGATTTTTGTTGGTTTAGAAAAATAAATATTTCCTGCAGTATTGTTATTTAGAAGTAATGTCACAGATGACGAGGGTTCTACCAATACTTAAACCACCAACAACAATCACTAACAATAAATAAGTATCATCGGAGGAAACTTTCCTCGTCACGTATTTAATATATCCTTAATCAATATTAATATGCGGATTTTAAGCAGGACCGTTTTGACATAAATAAATACAACCAACCATGTGTGATTGGCTGTGCCAAGACTCTCAAATAGAGAGATGTTAATATTAATCAGCCTGGTTCAAATGATATTTTATAAAATATGTTTAATGTATATTTATATTGAAACAAATCCAACTTTTAAAGACATAAATTCGTTTGCGTCTTTTCAGGATCAATCTATCACACAACACTGATTACTTGTACTGAAAAAAAAAAAAAAAATCACGAGCCATGTGTATAATTGGAATTTTTAAATCTTGTAGAATACCAAAATCCAGATAATTTACTTTCCTCTGGTATCTTTTGATAAATTTATTGTTTCAAGTTGAAAGATAAATTATCTTTTTCTGAATACAATTTCTAGTCATTTCTAATTCAGACTCGGTAAATGTTATCAATTTATGTGATATTAATAATATATAGCACCAAATTTACTACTACAATTTATCATCAAGAGTTTTTGATTTTGGATCATCTTTTTGGTTATTCTTTAAAAGTGACGTTTAATTGTGCTAACTCTAGTGTTTTTACTGAATAATATAACTTTACAAAGTTCACTCACATTGTGAAGAACCATTATCAAGTTATTTACAAATATTTACGAATGCTATGTTGGGGCTTTGTTTGTTTGGAAAATGCTGCTGACGTTGAGGTTAATATTTTAAAATCATCAAGATTGTCGATAATAAAAATAAAAGATTGTTGTTATGCTTCAATTTGATTGCAAGTGCCTTCGTAAAAAATCAAATTAATATTTATGTTACACACGGAATCTGAAACAGTTTGGTCCCGACTTTTTGGGACCCGGTCCCATCAAAACTGATAATTTAAAGGGTCGTAATAAGTTATTCTACCTTTGATTTTGGTTAAATTAAAGAATTTGGCTGATATTTTTTTTTTCAAAAGAATCTAATATATTACTCATAATTCTAATAGTGTCTGCATGCGACCAAATTTTGCTTGAAAATAGTAAAAACATCTTATTAATATGGCTGGCTACTATGTCGATTGGTGGCAAAATTTCAAAAATGGTAATTTAATGATCAACAAAGTGAAAAATAGTCAAATCGACCAACTTTTAAAGATTTTACAAAAAGTTGTAATTTGGCCAAGTCTATGTAACCCTTAATTTGAGATGCACCTTAAATAATTCACTAAACTTGCTTAATAAGTCTGTTGTGTGAAAAAATGAAATTTGCAATTCACATATTTATGCACATCACTAATTCAAAAAAGGCCAATGTTACACTAAAGGACCCGTTAACAAACTTACATCATCCTACTTACAAAAAGGGAAAAGAAAACTCTGAGACTTGATAAGAATAATAAGGATTATGATAATGACAATGATAATGATGAATCAATTATAACAAGTCAAGTAATGAAGTATAGCTCGAGTCATTTATTTAGTCCCGGCTTATTTCATATAGAAACCAACAATATTATTTCATTGATTTATTATTTATTAATTGTTTTTTAATAAGATATGACATTTTTTATATATGTGTTTGTTTAACGATCGAATTTGTTGATATCATGATATCATGCATTATTATAAAATGCCTTTTTTGAAATTTTGCAACTGATCGACATAGTGGTTGGGACTAGATGACTCGAGCTGTATCTAGTACAAATTTTATTTCTTTCAAAACGTTACACGTAATATATTTTTAATAATTTAAGGTTGTGGTACCAAGTCAGTTTTTAAAATAATCGAGTATCTTCGGTGCACACCATTGAAATTCCACCAGCTAATGATTATCACCTTTTAAAGATTCGTGTCAGAAAATTGCCCACTTTTTTTTTTGTTTTATTGAAAATCCGTGTAACATTGCGAATATTACAACTTCTAAACTTGGTTTTGAAGATTAAAAAAAACAGAATTTGTAAATCTATGTGTATGCATCAGATAGATTTTGTTCAAAGTTACCCCACATGAGATAGGGTTTGGACTAAATGATTCGGGTTATGGTTGTAAATCAAACACATTTCGTACAGTATAGTGCAAGTCACCTAGCCCCGTAATTTTTATTCCTCCAAAAAATCGTAAAGTCGAAGCTAAGTTCTTTCTACACACATAAAGTTACGATTTCATTTTATCAGCACAAGTTTACTTCAATTTTTTAGCATTAATAAAAAAAATGACTGTTAGAATAAAATTCATGTGTATGACACTGTAATTGAATTTCATTGGTTAACTTTATTGGAACCATAAATGGCATAACACTGTGTTAATGTATATATTACAAAAATGATTAGAATTTGTAAAAAGTGCGCGCAAAGTTAATATTAACATTTACCTCGTTAAAAGTTATTAAATTAAAATTAAAATTTAATCTAGAAGATCAAAACAAGTGACTACTTATAGTTGTTATAATTTAATTAGCTGATTCGTTGACGACTGTTTTATTTGAAGTTAGATTTCAACAATCGGGAAACAAACAATAACAAATAAAATATAAATAAAATAAAGCAATATTGAAATTTATGTAAATACCAATACTAATATATGTGTGGTGTAAAATCAGATATCAGCTATATTAATTAATATTAATGTGTAATTTAAAATATATAATAATAATAAAATAATCCTCCTATTAAATTATAGTTTCCGTTATTTATTTATTATTATTATATAAATAAATTATTCTTTAATAATTGGATTATTATTATTTTATTCCATATCGGAAATTATTGTATTATTTACATGTTTATTATTTTCGGAACTTTATTAAACTAAATTCAAATATATACACGTAAAATTTCTTTTTAATATATACATGCATTTATTTTCATGTTTGTCATCCATCTACAAATAATTTTTGTGACAAAATGTGCATTATTTCTAATACTAACAAATTTATTTTTGTTACCTAAACTATTTGCTACAACGAATTGCTTTAAAATTATTTCAGTCGTATTTTTTGTTTGTTTATAATCATTCGCACACAGATTTATCATATACAAATTATATATAAATAAACAAGCCTTTTTTTTTTTCGAAATAATAAATGGATCTTTATTATTATTATTAATATTTTGAATCCAAAAAATATCAACCAAATACAATCTTTTGTTCGCTTCGTTTCAGCTGATTAATCTATTCATCTCATTGATCGTTGATTCGCTGACTCTCCCTCCTTTATTCATCCGCATTTGTGGATTTTTATTTCATTCATTTATTCACTCCTTTATTATAGTTCACTTCTTTCCATTTTTTTTCCCATAACTTCATCCATCCATCCATCCATCCATCCATACATACATCCATTAATTCATTATTCGACCATTTAATTCATCCTTCCATTTTTAGACTTTACAAATTCTTTTGGATTTTTCAAGATGAGAGCTATAATGATAATTATATTACCAATAATAACCTATCAATTAATAATCAACTTTCCCTATGTCGGCGCAAATTTGATTGCGTTCAATAAAGACGATGTTTTGAGTGCGTATGAGAATGTGGATATTAGAGGGATAAATCAAACTGGCTATGAAAAAATAGTCGGAACTTTCAATATCGCAAGATTTTTAGTTCCTATTGCTTCCTTCAAAGACGACGAAGATAATAACTTAAGATGCAAAATAGACCCAAAATCTTATGACGGTGTTGATGTTTTGGTTATTTCTTTTGAGGATGCTAGATCAGTCGGTAATTGTGCTACTTATGCTGATATTCTTCAAAGAAATCACTGGGTATATACGGATCCAAAAAATATTCCTAAACATCCAAATTACGAAGATCCGGATCCAAATAATAATAATCATGGTAATAATGATCCCGGTAATAATGATCCCAATAATAATGACCAAGGTAATAGTATTAATAAAGATCCAACCGTTAAAACAATTATTGCCACTGATGGTAATGGAAATGGTTTCACTTCCGTCGTTAGAGCCCCCGCCACAAACCCACCGGTTCAAACAGGTTTTTTTTATTTGATTTATTTATCGTTATTTATATTCGTATATATTTTTTTACCTAATTTATCAAATTTACTTTTAACCCCCACACAAATGGATCCATCACCAAATCCAAAAGTAAGTCTCCATGCACGAATTCATTTATATATTTATTTCTCTTGATTAATTTATGATTAATTTAAACTAAAACGTCAATAAATTTATCACAAAATAATCATCAACAAAAACCATAACAACAGCCAGATAATAATGTTGTAGCAGTAAATAGGCCACAACCAGCTGGTAATACTAACGTATTAACAAATACGGATGCACCTGCTAACACGGACACCTTTACCACAAACGACAACACACCACTACCTCAAACTGAAGCAGCACCACAAACTACTGCACCGTCTCAGGAACAAGTACCGACACTTACAGACACTGCACCACCACTTCAAACTGAAACAGCATCACAAATTACTGCGCCGTCTCAGGAAAAAATACCGACACCACCTCAAACTGAAACAGCATCAGATACTTTTTTTGTAGACGGCACTTTGTCGATATTTACAGATATTACATCAACTCAAACTAAAACAGCGCCATCAACTACAGATACTTTTATTGTAAGCAGCACAGAGAGCGTAAACGGTAATGAGCAGAGCCAAGCTGAATCTCGAACAGTTCAACAGCAAACATCTCAATCTCCTTCTTCTCGACAACAACAAACTCCCAAACCGTCACCAACATCATCAAAAGATAAAATTCTTGATGTAACATTGTCCGCAACAATTTCATCTGTAGTCGGTGTAGAAGTTGGGGTCGGAGTTAAAATCAATAAAAAACGTGATTTGAACCTTAAAACCCCTCAAATGATACTTTTTTCTTCAACAAATGGCGGAGATCCTGGTATTAAAGAACTTTTTAGTGGTGATAGAGAAACGTTAAAGATGTCAATGCCCATACTATCATTATTAAAACTTGAAGATGTTATAACACTTCAAGGAATATTAGATAAAATTGATCATGTAGTAGTCACCCCTGGTATTTATTTATTTAATTACTCTTTTAAAAACCATATAAATAATTCCCTAATTTTATAATTTTTCATATTAATATAGAAAGTGGACCTTGGGTAAAAATATTATCGGACACAGAATGGCTTGTGTGGTCAGTTATAATTAGTAGTTTGTTCATTGGCATTGTATTTTTGGCCGTTTATTATCTAGTCAAAACCTATCAAGATTTAGGTTTTGTGTACGGAAACATTAAATTTTGGTTATACCCCGGGCTTATAATTGTCAATATATGTAATATATAAGTTTTTATTTTTTTTTGCAGAATGCCAGTTTGTAATTGATTGATCTGATCGATCGATTGATTGATTATATTTTTTTTATTTGTAGTGGCGTTTATAATCGTGACGGTTGATCCTGATGATATTTACGAAGATCGGATTTCTTTATCAGGTCGAGCGTCAATAACATACTTGAAAAACATGTTACTTTCAATTTTTTTTTCAATCATTGAATTTTCTTGGTAAATATTGAATATTTTTCAAAAAAAATAAAAAAAAATAAAAAAAATATATTTATTTTTACTCTCTCTCTAATAATATTATAATATTTTTAGGAAAAATGCGGCAACGTATATTTGTAGAGATAATAGGCATTATGTAACTTTTTCCAAAAAATTGAATGCTATTTATAAATATTTGATATTGTTATGTATGTTGGTCTTTGTTTCGTGTTTTATTATAAGGGTAGTTATATTTTTAAATCCGACGAGTGAAGACTTTAAAAAATTATTGGGTATTAGTTATACAATGGAGTCTGTGGGTTTGGTTGTTTTGGGAGTTGAATTTCTGGCTTTTGGGTGGTTGATTGTTACAGCATTAAGAAAAAGGGTTTCACAGATTCCTTTGCGTCGAAATAGATTAAGAACCAGTAGCAAGGTATTATTAATTACTCTTGTTTTTTTTTTTTTTTTTGAAATTTTTGGGACATTAACTAATAAATTTATATGATATGTAGGTCATCGTAATGATCATTTCAATATTGACATCTATTGTATTTTTTATATTTTCTGGTTCATTATCATTCTTTGTCACGACAGTTGCTAATTTTTGGGGAGCTCAGGTAATTGATTATTAATCAATTGGTTATTTATTTTTTTATTCTCCAAACGAATCTAATTCCAAATAATTCCCAAAATAATTTTTATAGATCACATCAAATTTAGCAGTAGTATTATGTAGTGTGATAATTATACTAGTTTTACAAGATAAAACTATTGGTAAAAGTTTGAGCCAATCAAATTTTACAAATAAAAAGAAAAAATCTGTTTTATCGGCTATAACATTATCAGATGATGATAATAATGCATTAGAAGAAGAGGAAGAGATTGATGACAATGGAAATAATAATTTCCCAACAATAATATCTACATCACCAGGAGAAACTTCAATGATCGACATACCAATCACCCCATCTTCCATATCACCACTTCCTACTATTTATTCTTCAACTTCGTTAAATCCAATGCTTGAATCTCCATTCAACGACGATAGTTATTATAATTATAGAAGGAGAAGCAGCAGTAACCATAGTTATATTTATAATTATATTAATAGTAATAATCATAGTAATAATAGTAGTAGAGATAGTAATAGTTATAGTATTAAAAATAATAGTAGTGGCAGTGGCATTAATAATAACAATAACAATAATAATTATAATAGTAAAAATAATAGTAGTGGCAGTGGTAGTGATAATAGTAATATTGATGTTATTAATGAAGATGAAATTGGGATTATTACTAAAATTGTGGCAGATCATAGATAATTTGTTAGTACTAGTAGTCATCATAGTGATAATTAACGACGAGGATAAAATGACTATTTATCTGATTACAAAATATTATGTAATATATGACATATATATAATGATTTTATATATTATATATATATATATAGATGCTATGCTTTTTTATCATCTATTATACATATGGATAGATGTTATGCTTTTATCTATCATACATATAGATAATAAATATTATGCTTTTATATATCATACATATAGATATTCGATATTATACATATTATATTATATTTGTACTTTTATATTATATATATATATATATATATGTAAGTATGTATGTAAAAAATCTAAAAAAGGTAGAAAATCTTTGCATAATAAACTTTAATTGATGTTTATTTTAAATATAAATTAAATATAAATTAAATTAAAAAATTAAAAAATTAATGATAAAACTACAATAATAATAAAATCTACAAAAATGAGATCTATTTTACAAAAAAAAAAAAAAAAAAGAAAAAAGTAATCTAATTATTTATTTATTTACTTGGAAAATAAATCAAGTTCACGTATCGCGGATGCTAATCGTTTATAGTCTTCCAATAATTCTATAATATGATGTGATATAATAATTTAGATAAAAAAATTTGTTTTCAGGTCAACCAAAAAATAAAAAAAAAACTAAATAAAAAACCTGGAACATCTTTAATACGAATATCTTCCACAGAACAATCTATAAACTTTTGAATTGGTGGTAAAATTTTTAAATTATTATTATTTTCTTCTAACCCTGTTGCAATTATTGGAGTTGAGGTTGTTGTCATTGAAGAAAACCTTGGAATAACATTAAAAGGAAGTAAGCGACCTGTCAATGATTTGATTTCAATCTTATTGCTGCTGGTATTATTGTTGTTAATATTAATATTATTACTACTGTTATTATTATCATCATTATTGTCATCATCATCACCATCATCACCATTATTATTGTTATTGTTATTGCTTATTTCAGTTAATTCTTTTTCTATCACACTTGTTATTAAATTTGAGTCCGTCATAGTATTTTTTGATTTTATTTTTGTTGAATTTGTCGCATCTTTCTCTGATATAATAATATTATTAGTACTGTTGTTATTATTATCAACATTACTAACATCATTATCACTATTATTAATAGTAGTGGTGGCAGTATTGTTAACAATATTATTGTTGTTATTATTGATAGAATTACTTTCATTATATCCAAGCATACGTCCAAACAGTTTATATGATGAATCTAATGCATCAGTGAAAACTCTTAAACTAGTAGCTGCCTCAACCAATTCTTGTCCTACTTTTCTGCTAACACTTAGTTCAACATTCGACGCATTATTAGCATTGCTAATAATATTGCTATTGCTGTTGTTACTAGTGGTGTTATTGCTAATAGTTAACGATGTTGGGCTTTGGATTCCTGTCACATCACTATAAATATATGCATATATATACATATAAGTCTATACAAATAATATGTGTTTTAATATAAGATTATTTGTATAAATTAAAACTAACCTTAAAGCCTTTTCAGGACTTAAACCTAAACCTGAATAATCTACATTCTCCAAAAATGCTACCACTGCCAACTATATTTAATTAATTGAAAAATCAATTTAAATAAATAAAAATTGAAAAAAAAACAATATTAATTTAGATTACTTACGGTATTTGTAAGACAATATGAGGATTCGCCATATAATAATGTTCGAACTCTGTATCTTTGTATGTATCTTTTTAATAATTGTATTTGTAATTATAATTGGGGAGATAATTAATAATTAATAATTACAAATGATAATGATAAACAAACAAACAACAACAAAACAAACAAACAAATTACTTTAAATTAGAAACCAAGCCTTTTGGATTTGATTTAACTACTGTGAAAATTAATAATGGTAAAATTAAATCTGCTGCTGGATCACTACTACCATTGGTTTCTAACTTTTCATTTCCCTTTTTACTGGAAGTAGGTGAAGTAGGTATTAATTTAGGTGATAACGTGGATGACGATGTAGGCGATAATTCGGGTGATGATTTAGGTGTTGATTTAGATGATGATGTTGATGATGATGTGTCATTGCTTCCATTTACTTTTGTTGTTGTTAGTATGGGTCTTGGTGGTAGATCTGATGGCGAAGGAGGAGGTAGTGCTGGAATTGAAGAAGAAACATCATCTTTTTCTTGTTCTTTTGCGGAATCAACATCTTTTGCAGAGTCAACATCTTTTGCGGAATCAACATCTTTTGCGGAGTCAACATCTTTTGCAAACTCGACATCTTTTACAGGTTCGATATCTTTTACAGAATCCATATCTTTTGTAGAATTCACATCTTTTACAGAGTCGATAGCATTCTTTTTTTCCCTTTTTTTAAGAGATTCTAAAACAGACACCATTAGAATACTACTATAATATTTATTATTATTATTATTATCTTTTCTTAAAGTAATTTATCATTAATAATTACCAACAATGATCTTATGACATAGCACAAGACTTTCAAGTTTTTCAAGTGGAGATTTTCTCTTGTTCAGATTTTGTAATTCTATACCAGCGTTCTGAACTGCCATATCAATCGATTCTTGCTGATTTGATTCAATAATATCAACACCAAGATGTTTTAAATTTAAATCTAGTAGGTTTAATGCTGCTATTTTTGAACTTAACAAGTTATCATGTATACCATTATCATTTGACCAGTTTGGACAAAAAATACTAAGTTTAAAAAAAAAATTTATTAATTAATTAATCATTAACATATATTATAAATCAATAGTCAATATATATATATATATTTTATAATAAGTGAGATAACTTACTTATCGTATAGCGTGGCACATACATATTTCTCGATGGCATTTAATTTTTCAAATATTTCAATCTCTGAATCATCAATTGATTTTTCAGTGGTATTGATCTGTTTCTCAATTTCTGAATGTATAAATTCATAAAATAATTGGATTTTTTCACATGTTGACTCTTCATTTAATGGTGGATCTTTTATAAATTTATCAATAAAACTATTATCAATAACAATATATTAGTATCATAATAATAATCAATAATAATAATAAAATTTGGAAAAAATCTTAACCTGTTAACTTCAATAAGCAATGATTCAGATAAATTAGGTAGTTCAATGTTTTTTTTATTGGCTGTTTCTTTTGTGGCAATTTTCTCTGATATTTCTTTAAATTTAAGTGACGATTCTATTACAATTGCTTGGATCGTCATTCCTTGTAATAAAATATCAACATTACTATTGGTTATCTTGATGGTTGGATAATCATCATCAAGATCATCTGGTATTGCAAAAGAGTCAAATACTGATCTGTGAATCACAAAGATCATTTTAAATAATTATTAAATGCCCCAATTGTTAAACAACCTGTTACTAAAAGTACAATATTAAATGAATCTCTCTCTACCTGCGATTCTTTGGATTATCCAAAAACGTTGAGGAAAGTTCATGTTCTGAAGGCATTAAATCTATAGCCTTAAAAACCTCACTATTAATGATTTAAATAAATATATAAATATACGTAAAAAATATTATTTATTTTCCAACAAATTATATTAAAAATCTATCACGCATACTTTTGAATGAATCCTCTGATTGCACTCATTGTTATTACTTTAGTACCTTCATCTATTGGTAATGTGAAAATTATATGATCTTGCAACAAATCCCTATCAATTGTCTCGAATGGCATAATAGATGATGCTGGAAGTAATAATGTTGCCTAATAATTATTATAATCATTATTTAATTATAATAGTTTAGTAACAATTCATCAAAAACATAGCAAACAAACCTTTTTGGAGATTAATAATTGTATGATATCAGAATACATCTTATCCATTTCACGAAGTTTAGTCAATATTTGTCCACCAACAGAATCTACCGATACCGGATACGAAAAAAATCTTAAAGAAGAAGAAGAAGAAGAAGTTGATGAAGAAGAAGGTGATCGTCTGGTAAGTGGACTTGCCCATTTAGAAATCAGTAGATCACTGTTGTTGTCCTCCTCGTCATCATTATTTAACAAAGGATGATGAGTTAAAGAATCAATGCTTTGTACTTGTTTCAATCGTATTGAATTGAATTGTGAAGATGTTGGACTTTTCATTTGTAAACTTGTACTAGCAGTTGCAATAGTAACTGGCGAAGAAACCAATTCTTCTAAATTTACATGATTACTATTACTATTTGAATTAGTATTAGTAATAGTATCGGATGTATTTGGAGTATTAAGATCAGAATTACTCGAGTAATTTTGTCCCTCGATTTCCATCTCTAAATATACAAGTAATGGTAATTAGTTACAATGCATGATTGTTAAATCGCAACTAAAATTCAAGCTTGAATACTTACATAATAGCAGTAGTGGTGAGTGAGTGATATAATGTATTAATAATTTATATATGAGCTGTTCTAGATATTTTTGAATGTGTTGGAATTCTTTTAAGTTTTAAAGTATTTAAAATTTAATTGGTTACATTTTTATACATTTATATTTAATATAAATAGCATAATATTAACGTCTCAACATTATAGGAAAATCCATTCTGCATAAAATTGTTGTTGGCAGAAGGTAAATTATTGGACAAAATTCGTTTTAGATCATTCAACAAGCTTTCAACATGTGGATCAAATAGAAGCTTGATGAATCGGAATGTGATATTTCTAAATAGCAGTGAATTTTATAGATTAACCTGTCAGTGTTAATAATGATAGTTTAGCTCGATTAATTGAGGAACAAAGAATTATCCGTTTGTTCAACCAGCTTTTATAATTTTGTCAATTAAATTAATAAATGCAATTTCAAAACATTCACAGTCAATAATAGATTATAAATCTGATCTGATGGTAATAATGATTTAGATTCTTCGTTAATACAAACATTTTAAAATTTAGAGTAATAATAGTAGTTCTTGGTATCAATTTCAACTTTTTTAAAATCTATTTCATTCCAAACCTCAAAATTCTGGAATTATTATTTATGAGCATCACTTTGATAGATTTAATCGAAAACACTTGAAGAGCTAATGATAATTGACCATCTACCAATAAATTACCAGGATAAATTAGATCAAGAGTTAGCTTGTGTATTTAGAAATAGTTACGATCAGAAGGATATATAATTGATGATGATATATTACGAGTATTAAACCAAATTTATCAATAAATTTAAATTCTATTTTTATTTTTTTCAATAATAAATAATTCATTGGATCTTTGCTTAAACCTTTATGATAGAAACAAATAATTGATGGACAAGAAATCAAAGTATAATTAAGAATTTTATAAATTATAAATAAGTTTCATCATTTTTATCTATTTTTTCTTAGATGATTTTCGAGCAATAAAAATCAATGATGCAGTCCCTTTTAATAAATTTTTTGAATTTACATCACGTCGAGAGCACTAGTACTTATTTCGTGTACATTCTCAGGGAATCAAGGAAAAGGTGTATTAGTATTGGCATTATTTCTCAATTATCCATTTTTTTCTTCGATGAACTCAAACAAAACAATGAAATAATGATCGTCTAAATTTGACTACACTTCTTGATAACACTTTTCCTGCTTTTATTCATCGAACTACTCATCAAAATTCTGTCGAACAGCCTAATCAACGACAACCTCCTGAATCAACTAATCAACATATCTCTCAACAAAATAATGGCGGTAATTGTTCTGAACAGACAACGACAACCAATCAATATACCAATTTATTAGCTGTACAAGAGCAACTTCAATGATGGCAGAGAAACACAAACGTCAATAACAACAACAACAGCGACGATAACAACGATAATAACAATATCAACGACAACCTTATCACATTGGCACCAGCAGAGTTATATCGTCCCATGCTCATCTGAAAAAATTTAGTAAGCAATTAGTATTTATAAACAGCTAACAGTTTATATTGAAGGAATTGAGCCTAGATGCTCCTCGCACATTATTAACACGGATGAATCAGTTCATCTGAATTCACAATATGAGAAAAACCCCTCTAACGATACCTTTGACAGAGGCAGAGGAGGATATACTCAAGGAATTAGACCCAGGAGTATTTATAGCTAACACTCTTATCAACATTGAAAATTTTAAATCGCTCACTAATCACCATCCCAATCGAGAGTTCGTGAATTATATAATAATAAGGTTTATCAAAAGACTTTCGTTACAAATGAACCTCGTACATCAGTATTCAAAGAATTCATTGACAACGATAGAATTATAGGTCCTTTTGAGTTTACGAACCTATCTGGGAATTCATGTAGAATCAATTCGTCTGTACTAGCACCTAGACGAGACAATGAAGAGAAGTTCCGAGCATAGGGTTTCCATCTTTCTTATAAAAATGCTGGTCATGCGGCGAGGTAGATTTGTGGTTTTGGAGAAGGTTGCTTTTTATCAAAAAGTATGACTACTGCATTTTACCTATACATCCTCTCGACCAAAAATCACAAGGTTTTGTCTACAATGGTAAAGTATGCCTCAATAGAAGACTATATAGCTTTTAATAATCGCGCATCAGAAGGAATTTTTTGCAGGTTTGCGGACCTGTTTATATGTATTGCCGGTGATTTAGAATACCAGCAAAAATGCACTTGAACGAATTTCTCCTGATCACACTCTGTAAATCAAGAGTAAATGCAGAGGAACACCTCTATAGGTCGAAGAGATTGCGATGGAAGTTCTTCAGACGAGATTCAGATAACAATCAACTGTCATTTTAGCACTTTGAGAGAGTAAATACTATTTGTGTGAATACATCATAACAATTTATAAATATATTTTTTTTAACCAGCTACTGAGCGTATTTGGTCTATTTATTTGGGGACACATAAGTTAATTAATAATTTAAAAATATACAATGTTTATTAATAACAGTATGATGATATTAATAAAAGATCATCTCATTATTGGCCAGTAACGACATGTACACTCCCTGGACAAAAGTATCCGGACACCTGTTTTTACTAATTATTATTATACAGAAACGCGCATAATAACTACACATAAAATTTTATCAAAATGTAGCTTAGGTTTTGATGAATATGCATGTAAATTTTGA